TTCCCCAACTGTACGGAGCAGTTACTACGAAACATCCCCTGCATTATCGTGCTTTTGGAAGTCTATTTTAAGGGGTATTTGAGGGGGGTTGCTAGTGCTTTTTGGAAATATCGAAAAACCTGATTTTTTGCACTTTTCTGTGGCTAGCCGGCTCAATTGTCCCTTGAGCCAGTACTGACTTCAGATTGATCAGCCCCAGTTTATTAATAGGGGACTGTCCACTGGCATCGGCGGATCGCGTAGCGATTTCAATATTGCAGCGTGTGATAGTGTGGTCCAGTGGTGAGGGTTCCTTGAACATCGCCATGCCCAAAAAGTCACGTGACCTTCCAAGCCAAGCACCGGGATTCGTGCGACCATATGGCTTACAGGTCAGGACTAGTGTCCTTCCAGGTGTGCAACTGCCATCGGGCGTTGGGATGGGATCAGGAAAACGCTGCATGGGCCATCAAAATGTACAACTTTTGGCCCGTTGGGCGGGCCACAAGCGAAAGGAAAGACATACAAACCAACCTATGTTGTGTGAAGGGCATTTTTACTGAAGGAAGCCCTGGGCACATCAAGGGCCCATACAATTTTCTCGCAGAGAAACAGGCAATGCTCCCAATCTCCTGGGGCAATCGGAAGCATGCTGAACAGAGTCAACTTCTGAACCACCGTTTGTCAGATTCTACCAATCTCAGCTCCAACTATCCATGCAGTCTTGGCCTTGGATAGTGCCCTACTCCTCACTTGGCCCCGTGGCCCCTTAGAATCAGGAAATGAAATGGTTTGTCTGTTGGAACCTTGACAATTTGCAAGAGCAACCAGCGCTCAAAGGAAGCGCGGGCGGAAACCCGAAACAACCACAAGGTCAACTATATGACAAAGAAAGCGAACCAAAGCCTATAGTGGGAAATTACCGCGGTTGCAGCCCCCCGCCTCCCGTGCATTGACTTCCTTTACATCCCATTGCACTCCCTTGCCACACATCGGGGGCTGATCTTCCATTGAGATACTTTAAAAGCTCTGGCAGTGTGAATAATTAATACCCAAAGGGAAACCAAAGGACGCCGTTTACAAGTTTGCTGCCCGTGTTTGGTCTTCGAACAGCTCGGGAGCCGTTCCTAGCCTTTGCCTTTGGAAACCACCCCTGGCCCCGGACCAGAAAACCTTCAAGAAACATAGTTTCTACCCCTGGAATCCATACACTTTAGATGAACTCCCAAAGGTCGAAACTTGCAGATCCTCCTCAGAGCCCCGTTTCTCCAGCCCCAAGCGCACGGCCTGCTCCGGCGAGAGGTCCTTCAGCGGTGACAGGCGGCCGCCAGGGAAGGCCCTGTCGATTGGCGAAAGCGAGCAGCCCAGTCCGACAACGAGCCAGTTGCCCAAATATGGGATGCTTCTCCAAAGGGGTCCCCTATGTGGTAGAACGAGCCACATTGAGGGGGTCCCTAATTTTGAGAAGCACTCATATTACGAATAGCAGCCTTAAATCAACCCCGAGAAAATCGTTCGATCCGAACTTAGAGGTCCCAATGCAAAAATAGTAGCGCAACACATGAGGACGAGATTGTGGGAATGCGGGAACCCGAGGCGTAGTCAAGAATGTGTCTTCAAATCCTTGAAGCCGGCCCAGCCGCCCTAAATTGCAAGAGCAAGGAGGACTCACTGTTAGTACAATAGCTGTCTTCGGTAGACTAAAACGGATTGAACTAGACTTTGCGTTTGCTGCTAGTATCGACTAAAACTGTCTTTTCAATAAGTATGCCCATGAAGTCGATGGATCCGGGCTGGTGCAGAAAAAGCCAGCAGCAGCTGTCGAGTTGAAAGCCAACGCCACCTGAAACTACGGCATTTGTTTGCGCGATCATTGGCGCCAGGCGCCAAGAATTTGCTCGAAGGCCGAGCCCTAATTTCGTCCATCTGGAGTCTCCAATCCTGACAATGTACCCAACATTAATTGAGGGGTGACCGCATGTTCTGAGGGACTCCAAGCATTTTCAGGCGCCTGTTTGTTCAGGTCGAAGCCACGACATGCTATTCTCTTCCCAACAAGGATTGCAAGTCTAAAAAATCCAGGAAATGTTGTCCCACCAAACATTCTTCAAACTGGTACGATTCACGTACCTGAAATCAAGATCCCCAGCAAATTCATCATGGGCAAGGTCGCACACCAAATTCACGTGAGTTCACCATCATTTGCCCAAACCCTGAAAGGGTCGCCACTGTCTTCAAGAGGCCCGACTGCCAGCTACGAGACAGGCTGGGCCCCAGACCCATCTGGAGCGCTCCCAGCCTTGTGCGGAAGCGGCGGGGGGGGGGGGGGGGGCGAGGGAGGTTCAATCCAATCCCATCAGCAGAGGACAAGGGCGCAAATATTGCCAGTGAACAAGGGAGAGGGCGTGCCTTTGACTCATGAGTTGTGGTTGTTTCGCTTGGGCCTAAGCCACAAACCCAGAGCCTTTCAGCACGATGTGTGTGAGGCGGCGGCTCGGACCAGCTTGTGCTCCGCAGGTGTGTCCTCAGAAAACCGCTAGGATGGAAGAGCTGGGCCATAAGATGCCGAGGAAGTTAGGTTCTCCCAAGGTGTCTCCCTGGTGAAGCGGTGAAACTACGAGTAAGTTTCTTCTGCAACTTGTATAACCAATGCCCCCACAGAATCAAGGACCCCCTACTCATAAAAAAGGTTTTCGGAAAATCCAAAGTCGCCAATACCAAATGTTGTATCGGCCAATTCCGCCAACGCTAAGCCAGCGATTTCTGCTGACACCAAGCGCATCCAAGTGCAGTGGGCCCCCGAAAAGCGAGCAGCCTAGCTGACCGAGGACCGAAAAGGAAGGAACCCGAGGCTGCCAGCCTGTTTTCCCCAAGATTTGTTGCTATTGGTGGAGGGGAGGAGAGGCTTGGGAGGGGGCTCCTTTGTTGATTTTGCGTAGGTCCGGATTACCTGCGTATCCCTTTGGGACACGGCAACAAGCGTGCAGTTTTAGCCGCGTCGGTATTTCGGGCGTCGATTTGCTTGAAATCAGGAGATGTGTGGTAGGCCCAATTGTTGCTCGAGCTGGAGTGTTTTTACGCGACATGTCATGCAACCCCTGCACCCCAATATGACTTTTAGAACACGCCAAGTCTAAACCAATGCTGAACCTGCCGAGTTCGCGCCAATCTCGACACCAGTCTTATTAGGAGTATAGCTGCACATAGTGCTGGTATTTAGTTCTTGTCTGACATTATAATTTGAATTGTGACCTTGATGATGCGTTACTCGTAAAATGAGATTGCGACAGTCTTCGTGTCCGGGAAAGGGGGGAGCCCATTTGGACGAGGATGAGGAAATCCGATCGACCGGCAAATGCCCTATTGATAAGTATTGGTTGGACCCCAGAGAATGTTCATTTTTGTACAGTATTTTTGTTTCTGTTTGTTTCTGTTCTGGAGGCGATATATATCATTGGTATTCTTGAGTGGCATGGTAAGCGAGTAGCTATTTACATAGGTTTTAGCACATTCCAGGATGAGTGCTCAAGCATTCGCAAGTTGTGGGTGATCAGCCGGTTTCCTCGTCAACGCACAATAAACGGTGACTGAATTGATCAAAGGCTGGTGACCATCATCAACCCAAAGTAGATAGCCAGGAGGTGGATGCTCACTGGGAAGATGTTGATCTAAAACAGCGAAGCATCCCGAAGGACAGAAGGATGATCTACATCTGCCAATGCAAGGGGTGGGGTGGGGGGGGGGGGGTGAGACATTTGGACATAAGGACGCCCACAAAAAAGCTACCAAAAGCTGTTTCAACAACCCCCGACAATTGCCAATAACCTCAGACACGGCCCCTCTCCACAAAGCAACCAAGGCGGGAGCCGAGCTTGTCTCCGACTTGGCTAACCCTTGAGCAGGCTGATCCTCACTGCTTTTTCCTCGCCTCTCGTTGTGAAACGCGTAGGAAGTCGGCCACGCGATTTCCATATTTGTGGCCTCCCTGGCCCCTTGCAGCGCCATGAGACAAGGCCCAGCATCGCGGGAGGATTGCCTTTGACCCCTGGTGAAAAGTGTAAGATGATTGTTCGTGCAGAAGCCCACTTCAATTGGGTTCCCTCATTCTCTCTTTCTCTTCCAAGGAGTGAGTCAAAAGGCAAACCCGGACTCGCACCAACTCGGGATGCTTAAAATAATCCCTTCAAGCCGTGCACCGGCCTCAAGGACCAAGCCCCCCCCCAATCTCCCAGTCCTCCACCTCCGCCAAACAAGAAAAACAGGGCATTGACATGTTGGCAAGTCCAAGGACAACACCAATGCTTTGAATCATGTGCTTGAGAGTTAAACACTGGTGCCTGACCAAACACCATCCCCCTAATGTGGCTTTCTTCGGAGAGATCAACAACATTCAGCACCATAGTCAGCATTCATTGTGTCCCCGACTGCTATGGTATTTTGAAGGGCACCCCTCATGTCATCCCCTCCGCTACCGTACATTCCAGGTACACTTACTCATGCCCTATCTGGGCAACTTGCGATATTTCACCAACAAAATAAAAGGACCTCGGAGGACTCCCTACGTTTCCTTTCAAACATCACCCCAAAGGGCAACTCATTTAAAATGGTCCCTTCACATTTACAACGGAAACATATCGAGAGCCCGACCCTAAGAAAGCAACCTTCATTTGACGTTGCACACCTCCACTGCGTGATCTGCTGTGAGACCCATGTGCTATTCATATCCCCCTTCATGTTCAAACCGGCTCCTGTCTTCTGACAGGTGCCGGGCTCGAAAACTGGCGCGGCACAACTTCCCCATTCGCAGGCGTCCTTCTCGCCGGAATTCCAAAAGCCGGGGGAAACAGCTGGATTTAAACACAAACGGCTCACAGTCCCGCTAGAAGGATACATCCAAAATCGACTGCTTCACAAATGGATCCTCTAAATTTGGCACAGCTTGGCCCACATGCATCCTTTTTGTCGGGACCTGGGGACCCACCTGAAGGGAACGGAGGATCAACCCCCTCGGCGGCTGTGACTCAGGGCCTGCAGGGGATGTCCTGATAGAGAATGTTGTCCCCGATCTCGAGGTCCAGGAAGGCGAGCCGCTGACCATCCTCCAAATGAGAGCAGTTGCCCAACGACCAGAAGGCGTGCAAACTAATCGGAGCCGGACCAGTTTGAGTGGGGAGCTCAAGATCGGACTCGGGCAAGGTGTCACTAAACAATTCAACACAAGCCCACGTGACATTGAACAAGCAAGCCCTTGGGCTTTAACCGTGCCCTGAATCGGACGTCAGAACCAGCTGTAAGGGCCATCCCTGAGACCTTTGTGCCACAGACCTTCGATTGAATTGACGGAGACCGCGGAGTTTCGGCGTCAGAAGCTTCCCTGCAAGTCTATTCAGCCCAAACTCTGACTGGTGTTCGCCCCTCAGAGCTGGTGGCCCCACAAAATAAGGTTAAGTCTCCAAGCAACACCCAAGTTGCGCCCTGGACAAAAAGGCAAACTGTATAGATAATTTTAGAGGATCGTTACCACTGAACTGGGAGGCCGCCAAACGCCGCCCCCAGAAATCGCCCCAGCCCACAAATCGCCGAGTGGCCGGCCCATAGATGGAGCTATACCCCGCTCCATCCCAGCTGTATTCGCGCTCTGTGCTCCAGTTGGCTGCCTTGCGCAAGGACAGCCTCCCAACATGGCAAACATGACAGGCCCCTTTGAATGGATGGATCTTCCATGCACTCATTGCCCCAAGGGGTGCTATGTACGAAGGGTATATAGACGAAAAGGAATCTTTAAGAGGTCGAATGCAAACAACTGCTGTTGGGGATGGTCCGCGAAGCTTCAAGGGCCGCACTCTTTCTCGAAAATTCCGGCCCGGCATGCGGCCCCAGGTCGAATTCCCTTTCATCTGCTATCTGAGTCCGGCTCCGCTCGTGTTTCAAAGGAGTCGGCAGGCTTAGCCGTTTTCACCCGGCACAAATAATTTGCGAACCAGCTGGAACAAGGGACCTGCAAAAGGCTCTGAAAATGGTTGAATCGCTCGTTTTTATCACGCACAAGTTGATGCAAAACCCGTCTGGCTATGCATCTGGGCGACGATTAGACGCAAGCTCACCTTCAAGTAGGCATGCCGGCTCATCACATCCAAGGACATGGAGCTTTCATAAGCAGCAATAAAATGACTGGCGTCATAAGCCGACGACCAACAACTCAAGTCATCAAACACATACGCACACATGTTCCAACCATAGGCATAAGCAAAGAATACAAATTACACACAAAAACAAACAAGCCTAGTGAGAACAGTGAAGACCATGTTGTTTTGCAGTGGTCAGCTCAACCGAATCTCGCGCCTGCCTGAGCAATACAGTAACAGAAGGGACCCCTCTTTGGCGGAAAACTGAAAGGACATGGGGGGCTGCTAGTCTAAGGGGATGCCCGAGGAACCCTCGGATGCCAAATGGTCCCCTTTTGGATGACAAGGAGGATATAGCCGCGGAATTAATGAACATGCCAAGATGCCACCACAAAGCATGGAAGACCGCCCTCTGTGCCCAAGTATGTCTCGGGCAAGTCCTCCGCACTCCCGTCCCAAGACTCCATCGGCAATCGGGGAGCATTCAGAAATTCACGACTTGGCCAATGGGTGCAGTTTTCGTTTCGTCGGGGGCTCCTAAAAACGGAGAAACAAAACCGTGATTCTTGTGGACACGCCTTGGGCATCCAAACATGGGGCTGTGGGATTGCGGACGTGGAGCAGTGGGACATACACACGCAATAATAAGTGTAATAAGTTGGGGAAAAAGGCGCCGGTTTTTGTTTGGGCGTGTCAACTCTAGTTTCCTCCTAGCATGTAGCCATAGCATAGCCATGCTTTAAAGCAGCGAGAAAGGTGATGCAAAAGGGGATATGAAACGCTTCACGCCGCCGACGAGTAATGCTCGAGGACCCTCTTGTGCGAGTGCCACGAGGACGCCTCAAAAGGGGTTGAGGTGTTTTTTTTTTTTTACTAGCCCCGGCTTTTTACTAGCCCCGGCTCGGCACAAGCTGGGGGTTGGTGGCCGCATCACCAGCATCCCCAGCATTTCCGGTTTCTTGTCACGGCTGCGTATGGGGCATGACTTGCTGCTCGGGGCCAGCATTACTGGCCTCACTCGGACGAGAGCTGCCTATTGGCTTTGATTTGGTGGCAGTTCAGGGTTGATCGGGGCTGGTTTGGGGTGAGTGCTGGGCTTGCTGAGATATTAATGCGGGCGGGTCTTGGGTTTGTTTGGGGTTCATTTAGCCTCGGCAAAGGGCCGATATGCAGGATGCGGTTGGGAGGGTTTCAGGTTGACTTTGGGTCGGTTTTGGCTTGGTTGGGGCTGATTCGTGCTAGATGTGCGGCTGGTTTAGCCGTGGCTTTCGGGTTGCTTCAGGGATGTGGTTCTGCAAGTTTTGGGCTAGGATTGGTGGTTTGGGGCAACGCCCCACAACCAATCCCAAACCAGCCCAAAACTTGCAGAACCACATCCCTGAAGCAACCCGAAAGCCACGGCTAAACCAGCCGCACATCTAGCACGAATCAGCCCCAACCAAGCCAAAACCGACCCAACGTCAACCTGAAACCCTCCCAACCGCATCCTGCATATCGGCCCTTTGCTGAGGCTAAATGAACCCCCCACAAACCCAAGACCCGCCCGCATTAATATCTCAGCAAGCCCAACATTCACCCCAAACCAGCCCCGATCAACCCTGAACTGCCACCAAACCAAAGCCAATAGGCAGCTCTCGTCCGAGTGAGGCCAGTAATGCTGGCGATGCGGCCGGCTGTCCCGAGCAGCAAGTCATGCCCCATACGCAGCCGTGACAAGAAACCGGAAATGCTGGGGATGCTGGGGATGCGGCCGCCCAGCTGACCAACCAACCAACCAACCAACCAACCAACCAACCAACCAACCAACCAACCAACCAACCAACCAACCAACCAACCAACCAGTCTCCGAGCCGGGGTTAAGCCCCGAGCCGGGGCTAGTTAAAAAAAAAACACCGGTTCCCTCAAAAGGTCGGCAACAAAAACAAACATGTTTCAGCACGCAAAATGTTGCTGGGCCTGTTTCGCAGTGATGTTGACCCCGGATTAACCTGGAGGTATGTATTTAAAGGGGGGCGGTCCCTGACTAGAGGGGTCCCAGGGTCCTCCCTGATGTATCCGAAGCTAAAATTACGCCAATCCTTCAAGCGCCAGCCCAGGGGTCACGTCCATTCTAAACCGGGGAAACCGCCAGCAACCGAAACATCATGTGTGTAGCAGAATAGAAAAACCCCATGGTTTCCCTTTGAACCAACTTCTCTCAACAAGCACAAGGAACAATTCCACGACTACCTGATTGGCTTCCAAGGACCTCTGCTTCCTGAGTTGGTTGGCCAGAAAATTGATAAACTTGCTGTTTGCAACTAAAATAGTCTTCCTAAAAACAAAAGAAGTCTTGTAACTCCGGAAGTAACAAGAGGGCCAAAAGGGACGACAGCTGGCCATCAGGAAAACAACAGGTCCGAAGGTTGAATCGCTATTGGAATGTGAGCAAACATGGCCAAGGAAGTATACTGACAATTATTCGATTCAAATGCAAGGATTTGGATCCAAAGGTGCATCGGTGAACTCCACCGAGCCATGACGGAAGGGCCTTTGAACAGCGCCTGAAGAAGGGTAAGCAAGTGCTGACCCAACCCGATGAGCTGCGCGCTTCGAAGTTTTGGTACTACTAGTATTTTGTATCTTTGTAATTTATGTGCTTGCATCAAATGTGTTCTGCCTTTGGGGCGTTGACATCTTTAGGATGAACCTGTGACATCCATGCAGGGCCATATTCACAATCCTTGGCCCCTAGTTACTGGATGCTTCTAAAATGCCTTCTCCACTATATGAAGCCACCCCATTGACAAGGATCTGCCCTAGGAGGGCCGCCTATTTGGTCCACCTAGCCATGATTCCAGATTACTTTCCAACAACCTTCAGACGGAGCTCCGCTCCTTTCGGAACCATCGCTCGGTGGGCCCATCCGTGCGGTGCCCTACCCAGGCCACCGAGTACAGCAGCGCCCACAGATCCTTGCCCCTGCGCGACGGGGCGGTGTTGTGTTTCGTGGGAACAAGAAAGGAAAAATGGGTGTACTTTTGGAAGGTACCCGTTGTGTGGTGGTTTTAAAGGACGCCAAAAGGAAAGCTGGTCGTTTTGGGGGGTCCCCCAAGAAAAACACCTAACCACCCGCACAAAGAGATGGTCGACCTAAAAATTGGGGCTTCCAACTTTTTATTCTACCAACTAGGTGGATTCTGGGAAGCTACCTTTCATCGTTCTCGGGACAGGGTGCGTCAGGTAAGCGGTAAGTAACCATGACTGCAACCCACTAAACGGGATTGTAGTCATAGCTAACCACGTACTAAGTACCTTGACCCTTGCAGTTTGGGTAAGTTGGTACGGTTTGGGGAGTCGGCAAATTTCAGCAGTTGGTCAGGGTTAGGCCAACTTGCTTGAACTTTTGTGAACTATTGATGTGAATTAAGCTCTATTGGATTCCCTTTTAAAAGGACAGAGGCCCAGGGTTCAGTTGCCGCTCCCTGGAGTTGGTCCTCTTAGGGAGGGGATAAAGGCCGAATTGCCCGCTCAAAACGCGGGCTGCTCAAACTTGGGGAGAGAATACTCTCGTTGGACTATTCAGGGAAAGGCCAAATGTTTATTGAGACAAATCATCCATCAAATTGGGCAAGCACTAAGAGACCCCTGTCGCATTCCAAGGTGGACAGCCGACCGATGTGATCCTAAACACAGCGCGTGACTTGCAAAAGGGTGGGATCGGAAAATGGCATCAATGTACATGTCCAAGTGTGAAAAGCTAACTTTCTTCAAGTCCATGAGGGCCAACATGTACTCTGTATATTGCGTATAGACCGCTGAGTAAAAAGAAGGCTCAATACAGGAGGGTAGCTGTGCGATGGGAATGCTAAACCGACAACCGACCTGCCCAGCGGTGGATCCGTGGCCAGGAATTTCAAACAGTTCGGCTGGGCTCAAAAAGAGGCCAAACTGTAAGCACTTGGATGCGCCGCTGTTTTTGGGCTGGCTGCTTTTGGCACTCAACAGGGACGAAAGAAAACATCCAAACGGCTTCAGCGAGGTGCTGAGAAGGGAAGTATTGGTGAACAGCAACCGATCGCTATTCCGTCGGGCTGGGTGGCCACGTCGCTTAGGCTCAGTGCCCTTAGAACACCCTCTTCTGCCCCACGTCGAAGCCCCAATCTAAAGAAAACAAGCAAACTCCGGTTATTGGCTGGTTCTGGTGCCCTGAAACGATCCCTAGTCACACCTTATCCCCTACACATCGCTCAATCCAATCATTGGGAAGTGCAGGAAAGTGCCCAGAACGACTGAGGACCCCCAACAAACGGTGCCATGATGCATGTATTCAATCAAAGCTTCCATACTTTGGCCACCCATCCCAACATGCGCCAGGCTGCTTGTACAGCTCGGCAAGGCGATGGATGTCAAAGCAAATACCTCATTCTCAACAAGTGTTCACTGCAAGCTCCCCCCGAGCTGAGAACTGAGCACCGTACACATGCCCGTCAATGTGTCCCGCCATGAACCGAGAAAAGTCATTGAACATCGAGATGCCCCGATCTGCAAGAACGGACTACCAGGACCTGATATCCCCAACATGTTGTGTGTTGATCATGGTTTTTGGTCTGGTATAGTTACATGCCATCTGCATACCCCAGTCCTGCATGGAACGGTCCACTACAAGCCCTCAAAAACCAAATTTTCATGTCGTGGGAATGTCTCGTCAGAGACACATTTAGCCAGTTGACATTGGTGGTCACTGGCAATCCCCCATGTTCGGAAACTATACGAATGGCAAACAAACGTCCCTGTCCTGCTGCCTTTGGGCTGCTCATGTTCACTTTGGAATACTCCGGAGGACCCTAGTCACCAAAAGTGGATAATTTTCTTACAACACCTTACGGTCCTCAGGATCAGGTTGTAGTTAACGAGGGGCAACTTGTCTACAGCAGGCTGAGCACGGAAGGTTTCAGCTGCGGGCCGGGCGTGAGCCGTGTGAGCCCAAGAAGTCAATGCAAGTCCCCAAACGAAACACATCTGCTGCCTGAGAAAAACGTCAACTTACGTGACAGCACAGTGACCCTAAAGATTTCTCTAGACTAGCGTTTGGGCAGTAGTTAACACCTATTTACACCTCATATATATCTCAGTTATTCCTTAACTTATTCATGTTAAGGGGTATGGTCCAGGTGAGTTTCATTCAACTTCAGATATACCTTGCACGGGCCATTGTCACGGCTTCCCTACTACCAATCTCACGTGTAAATTTGATTCAGAGATTGCAGAGAATTCCTGCCCCAAGCAAATGCACGACGTGTGGATCCATTTCTGAGTGGATGCGATATAAAGTCCCAACTGTTCCAGGGATTGATTCCCTGGTCTTTTCAACCATCGTGCTTTTCAACAACCAGCCGTTTTCCCTGAACATTTCTGGCACGGGAGTGCGCTGGATCCAGGCTGCCCAGGCCGATCCGCCCGAACTCTGAGTCGTACATCCCCGGGCCGTCGCCGCGGTCGGCCCAGCTGCCATCTACAAAGTCCTCGTCAGCGGGAGAGAAAAAAGTGCCAACCCCCTTTATGGATGTCCTTCACCTCCTTGCCTAGTCAAAAAGGGGGAACTGGGGAAATGCTTGGTCCTTGCCTTGTCAAAAGGCAGATTTCTGGAAGGGCCATTGATTGGCACCCCCGTTTCCGTATGCATTCAGGGGCGGGAAACTACCCAAGGCCACAACCTATAGCACGCTTTCGAGGCCAGGGAAACGGGATTGTCACCAACCTTTCCGAGTCCAAATTCGGTCTCATAATTCGTCCGCTTCTGACCAAAAGGAAACGAGCCACCGGGAGGCGGCCCTAGCTTTTCAGAAACACCAATATGTATCTATACGTGCCAAATGAATCGAGGCTATTGGGAGCAGGCCATGACTATGCCCAACCGCGGGCCGAAGCGCTGATGACCCATGATTGCACGTTTAAAGTCACTAGTAGTAGGGATCCTTCCAAATGATGACTTGCACAGCACCAATCCCCTCCCCGGAATCTAAGTGCATGCAGGCATCCCAGAGGTGCGTCTTGCGGTAATGTACGACCTGAGAGGGGGAGGCTGCGCGCTCACTTTCAGCGAGAGGAATGTCAGCAAAACGAAAAAACAAAAACAACTTTGTTTTTGCAGATGTCCTTCGTAGTTCTTGGATTTACTCATGCAAGCCCTCGCGGGGGCCTGCAAGGTAAGCCAGAAACTAAATGTGTAGAATAGGGGGGGTCTGACGATCAGACACACCCTGCATGCCGGGCAAGTAAGAAAGCATGATGGCCAACCAAGGCGAGGCACTTTTCCCCTCAAACATGACCCCGAAAAAAGCGCACTTGACACCAGTGTCTACCACAAAGAGTGATCTTTACAACCACCACAAGGTTGGCAAGGAAGATAAGGCACACATATCCATATCCGTAAATTTGCAGGGGGCGCTCGTGTTTCCCCACATTTAACGGACATGACTGCGAAACGGGATTCCAGGAACCACCCCGTGGGATTGGGCCCTGCCATACAATGTACATGTCGTTGGCATCATACTTTTACTCAGATGCCCAGTGGGAAAAAGGGCACTGGGCAACTGGGTTTAAGCGTCAAGGAAACAAAGAAATCCTCTTAGCTTACACACTTTTAGCCTAGAGTGCTCGCTTCGTGTTTAACCACAACCACCTTCAGGGCAACCGTTGGCCCAGTACGCTACTCAAAACTCCCGGTCCCGAGTTGCGAATGACCCTGGCAAAAACCGGAAAACCTCCACCAAACAAAGGGACCGGTTTTGGGGATCACCATCCTTAAAGAATGGAAGTAGAGGGCGCGACTTCCCCATGGCCTTGACGTACCGGCAATGGCATCTACTTCATGTTGACCCCGGAGTAATCAACCCGTCCTATTTTTAGGGGGCCCCACTGAATTGGGGACCCCCCCTTTGAACAACCAGGGCTTCCACCGTAGATTCGGAGCTTCCATGGAGGTGCCAATGAATCTGCGGCTTCAGCGCGTGCTTCCTCCAAGGGGCGATCTTGCCGCCCGGAGAGGCCAGGCAAACGGTGTTGAAGAAGTGGCGGCTGGGGTGCAACACCTCCTCCACGAAAGGGATGGTGAGGTACACTCCCAGCTCCTACGGGCTCAAATGAGACCGTGGACGAATAACCTCCATACCAAATTCACGGAAGGAACAAAGCGGAGCGGGGGTACTCATTTGTGTTTTTAAGTACCGTCAGAAAGTTATGTACAACTAGGACGGGAACACCCAACTATGTGTTGTATAATCAACGGGGGTTCCTATTAGGTGTCCCCTTCGAACATCACCTCACTTAAAGGACACCCGCCTTGATGTCGCCCGAAAGATGATACTACTTAAAACCAATAAAAGAAACATGAACATGGGAAAAGCCAACAGCTCCCCTGATGTGTACACAGAATACAACAGACAATATAAGGTCTATTCACGGAAAAGGGCTTGACTTGAGAGAACGAATCATGTACAACACAATAAAAAGTGAACTTTGCTCAAGCTCACCACCAAAATGGTCCACACCCCAAAACATGGCCTGTGGCCCGAGTTCGGAACTCGAAACAGGAGCGAACGACAACCAAAACCCCGGCATCGAAACGAATCGCCTGCGCCAAATCCACAAAGCGCCGCACAATCCTGAGCTGCAAAGAGGCACTCCCGAAACACTTTTCAAAGCGAAGGCTCACTTGCCCCAAGGATCCAGATATAAAAGGTTAAGCTGTTGGGACCATGACTAAAACTGGGTCAACAAGGGGAACCAACAGGTGAAGAGGTCAGTGTTGAACCTGCCAACACGCAATCTCGATGCCAACAGTCAGAACATGACTTGCTAAGAATATTGCTGGATCTCAAATCATGGGTCAATGGCAGAACTCGCACCTAAATAGTTCGGGTCTTTCTGGCTTGGCCACAAAGCTGTTATCTTGCATCATAAAACACACAATCAGCCGCAAACGTACCTAGAGAATCGGTATCACCCGCTATCCTACCCCATGGTTCTTGTCGCGCAAAGGCAGGATCCCCGGCGCCGCTTGAACGCGCTCTTTTCGCAGGGGCTGCGCTTGGGAAAAGGCGGCGAACCGCCTGGACGGGGGCAACTCTGCCACGCATCCACACGCCGGTCCAGGGCCCAAAGGGAATCGTCGGCATGGCCAGGGTCCAATTCCCTCGGCCCACGCGCCCGCTTTGCTGGGCTCAAAGCTCGTCTCCCTGCGGCTTTGGGGAATCTCGCGCCGCGCGGTCCTCGAGTGGCAGGGGGAGGGGTGTGTCGTTCCACGCCCAAGGTTTCTTTAAGCTGCTCCAAAAGGACTCTGGCGAGTCAAGTTGTGGCAAACTCCGCAGTCGAACGCTTCCTGCAAAAACGTGGCCCGCTAAGGACTTCATGGCTGCAGGGCTTGGCAGAGGGTTGGGGCAGCTGAAAGCCTCGGCCTTCAGCGCCCGTCCTTCTCCTTCAACTTGGCCCTTGCCTCGTTGACCAGCCGGATATCCCGCTCCTTAGGTCTCCTACAGGGGTCCCAATACTTCCCGTCGAATTGAACACAAATTCACTTTGCATTCTAAACAGTGATTTGTACTTCAAACAAAAATCATTTGGGAAATAAGGAGAATACTTTTTCTGCCTGCTAATGATGCAGAAGTGCAGCCCCCTTTAGATGCCCGAAGGCAGAGTTTGAGGCGGATCTTCAGTACCAAAAACCACCCCCTCCCCACCCCCCACCCCTCCCGGGAGAGGTGGCAAAAACCTGGAGGAGGCAAAAAACCGCTCCGAATCAGTTATAGTTTGTTCCACGTCTTGCTAACGACCCTGCAAACAAGTCTGAAAAGTATTCATACCCCGTATAGGTCCGATGGGGCCATGACTAGACATGGACCAACGAGGGGAAACCAAAAGGTCAGATCCGGTCGATCAATTATCTTTGCGCAAGTGAGTAAAAGGGGTATGTGAGCAACCCCCACACATCGGTCACGCCTTCCCGCCAAGGAGCTTCCATGATGCGCTGTGTTTTCCGATACCAGACCTCAAACTCGTCAAGGGTAAGGACCAAGTCCTTGTTTGCGTCCGAGCGCTTGAAGGCCTTTTTGAACCTGGGCAGGCAAAGGGCAAGTTGTTTTGTCCGGAGGGAGATGCCAAGTCTCAGAACTTCCTAGCATCACTCAGCATACGGGCAAACTCTTTTAGGTAGTATGAGCCCCCCCTGACGAGATAGGAACGACTTGAATACGTGTCAAGAAGCGTAGCGAAACAACCCGAAAGCCCGGGAAGAGCTACAGGCTCTGCGTTGCTCCTCGAAAGGCACCTAATTGGTTTGGGAGAGGTAAAGGGATGCAACGGGGCATCTTCCAAACAGCGCCCAAGACCCAAAACTTTGTGGGTGGCAAGGAAGATAACAGCCAGGCAGTAGAACCTACAAGAATGGCCCTTTTGGGGTCTTGGACCTGGCCGCTGATCAGCTTGGCGATCCAACAGGGGCCCTTCGAGGGAGGTTGGATTCAATCCGAGTCAGCCAGGCGAATCAGGGAACCGTTGCGCCACATTCAGCGCAGCGGAGATGCTAATGCAAGGCGCGCAATGAGAATTCTGCACCATACGGGCCTTCAGAACTTCCAAGCCATGAAATATGGCTTGCAAGCCAGGACCAATTTTGCAATTGGACGTTGCCCCTCATCATGTTCTGGCCGTTAGAGTAAATAGATTGGACATGCTGCAATTTGAGACAGAGCGCAAATCAGCCCGGCAACGCAGCAACCTACAACATCTTACAACACAACGGCGCACATGCCTTTATATAAGATAGGTTTGCCACAGCAATTGAGAAGAGTTGCGACGGAGTAGAATTAAATGTCATTCTCACGGGCCGTCCCGCCCAGACTGAAAGTAGTGGCTTCAAGTTGGAGGCGCAGCTTGTCAAATGGGTAACGCTCAACTCTGGTCCTGATTAATACGCTCCCGACCCTGTGAGGGCATATGGTACTGGGAGTGCATCTTGGAAATGACTTCCAATGGCTCAAGACAGCATTTTTTGGGAGATATCCCAACATGGAACCTGACAAGAGGTCCCTGGGTGGGTTTCACGTAGGTTAGCCCAAACAAGGATTCGCATGAAAGGACTCTTCACACGCGAGGTCGAAAACCATTTGCTTTGGCCGCCAAACATGTGCACGGCAACAAGCTCCAGCAGCCTGCTGGTTCCCTTCACCCCCTCACGGGGGTGCCTTTTGGACAGCAAGCGGGGTTTCGCACGTGGTTGGGATGTAGTCTGGGCAAATCGGAAACAGCTGGAACAAGTGGTACCTCTGGATTTCAACACGCCTGAAACTGTAGTCCTTGCGGTCCTTGTGGGTTGCCAAGGCTCTCTATGTTTTTCCTTCCTCCCAAATGAAGCGGGCACTCGCTTTAGCTCAACGACCGCTAAGACTAGACCCCACCAAGTGGGGCAATATGTAGGCAATGCTGGCAAGTGGGCAAACAGTAGTTCCCAAAAGCGTACACCAAAGGTGGAAGGTCAAACCACAAACTTAAAAAGGATGAATCAAGTGAACCCTCGCCGGCTCCAAATGCCCCTTTCTCGTCTGGGGGCTTCTTCTGGGCGTCTTGGGGCAGTCGCGTGTAGCCCTCGCTATGCCTCACCTCATCCCAGTGGATAGTGCCGTCACGGCTCAGATCCATATTGTCCTTGGCAGGCACCCCTCCGTTGCTGCCGTTCCCTTTTACACGAGCCACAGGTGAAAGAACGGTGCTAACCTTCCGCGCTCCTTCTTAACATGGATGTTGAAGTTTACAATGCAACTGTGGAACCTAAACCAGAGCTGCCGGAAGAAAGGTTGGTTTACCCTCTCCGTTCAACATCCAGAAAGGAAGTTGAAAAAAACAGAGGGCTCCATTCAAGCGCCTTACCGCATTCTGCTACTCAATTTCCTCTGTCAACGGTGCTTTGCTTTGTTTGTCTGCTTGTCTGCTTGCATGCTTGCCTGACGAGGGGCCAAGGGTCACTTCAGGGACCGAGCTCAACGGAACTGACCGAGCAGCGACGCAGGGGACTCGGCAAACGGAAACAGCGCGCCAGGCCGAACAATTCAACGTCTGAAGTGAAATAGTTCACCCGGCCCCCAATTGGTTGTCTGGGTTGCGTCTTCTCACGTGCTCAGTTGCCCAAGGGACGCAGAAATGAGGGGTTAACCTGACTAAAAGTGGGCCAAAAAGAGGAAACGAGCGGTCGGCGTTGGGCGATTGAGAGTGAGGTCTGTTACAAGCCCAATGAGCATCCTGCTGGTAACATGGAAGACAGGCTGCCCAACCTTCGCCTAAGTTCGAATATGCCAAAAGGTTCACTTTCTGAATGTCCTTGACTGTTTTGATAGGGGGGATTGAACAACTAACTCAGTTGTTGAGAGGGGGGGCATCTCGCGTCCGGAAAAGGGCCCATCCGCCAACTCCGAGGAGCCAAAAGTTGTTGAAAATCGATGGCCCAAGCAGAGCTCAGCAGCAGGGATCCCCACGGGATCCATCGCATGGCGAACGCGCGGGCCGCGTTGCAAAGTCTTGATGGCGGGTAACCGCTACATGCTAAGCTTATGTCAGAAACAAACTTGATGAGTTCTCAAGCCGGATAAAGTGATGCGTGTTGAACTTTCTGGGTTTGCATGAGTGCGCAGTCTGATGGCGTCATCTGCTTCGAATGCACGAAGCACATGTTTCTAAGCTGTGAAGCGAACAGAACTGACTGTCACTGAATTACACAAATGGGCTCAGGCCTCCCTAGGAGTTGAATGATCAACACTGCACGCTTTGAGCAAGATGCATCACACGACCTCTGTTCCCAAAACTGCTTGCATCATGCGATGGAGAAAGCTCAATTACTGTGAATTCACAAGGAAACAGCAAATTTGACTAGCAGCTGTCTTTTCCGGAACTTTAGGAAATACACTCTTCCCGAGTGGAATTGCGGGAAGGCAGAAGCCAGGCTGCAAAGACCACAAAAAGAGCGCCGCAAAACTGCAAAGGATCGGCAACTACCGGCTTTGCAACAATCAGGGCAGTGGACGCAGGAGGGTTTTCAAAGACTGGCAGTGCATCCCCAGTAGCCATGGGAAAAAATCGGGCACTCATTCTTCGAGAGAGGCCATTTGACGGCCTCGTGTCGTGGATGGGAGCCCGTACTGCTGGACCAAGTTCAGTGATGCAGCCCTCGTGAAGCGGTATCGGAGAGTCCCTTTTAAAGGAACATAGTCTTCTCGGATCCCTCACTCAGGTTTTAGTGGACACGAAGGTAGTTGATTGTAAAGATAGTTAAACACGGCGAAACACGGCGCGTTGTGGTCCAAAAACTCTTTTGCAAAACTAGCGGCGGGGAGTCCACTGTGGGCACCACCTTGGCCGGGTTGATCCCGGCGAAGCGCGGCGCCAGCTTCCGCTGTGGCGTGTGCCAGTTGTGGAGGAAGGGCTGGGAGGTGTACCTCACTCCCAACCCCCACGGTTTGAGGACTCCGACTCCCTGCCCAAACCACCACAACACACAAAAAACAAGGAGATATTAACCCCAAATAGCCACTGCATAAAGGTTATACACATGTTTCCCCTTGGGGTAGCGGTTTGGGGGAAGTAGGCATCATCTTAGACACATTCGCTCGATGCTTCCCACGTCTTCCTGTGGTGCAGGTGCATGTGTAGAGTGTACGTTTGCAAAAGATAGTCAACTTTCATTCATGCCCTTGAAATGGTCCCCAACACATCGTGTTTGTTCCACAAACCCCTGGCCTGAACAAGAATCAAACGCAAACGGGATTCCCATCAAGAGCTCCTGAACCTCTTTAATCTGACTGTTGTTCACTGTTCGTGGGTCAAAAGTTCCAGGTGCAAAGCCCAATCCACCGATCTTTCTTAGAAGTACCTTATTAAAAACCAAGGCCAAACTGTCACACGAAGGGGTACCCCACAATAGCCCCGGATCCTGTTTAATATGACTGTTTTGAGGTCGTTCGAATGTCAAGCTGTAGTTGTTTTAGTGGGTGTAAACATGCAAGAAACAAGTTTTTGCAATGACTAAATTTAGAATTCACGACACACAATTAACTACTGGGAATCTGTGCATAATTGTTGGAAATAGTAAATTTGGAGTGGCCAATACTAAACTAAATGTTGGCAAGTCCAGTTCAGCCCAAACATCCGCATGATACAGTATGATATGCTTTGCGCCCAGTCACCTTCGCGTAATCAGAGGAAAACAGATGCTGTTGACTTAAACAACCCCGAGTGAAGCAAGGCTTCTCACATCACCCAACAAAGCTCGCACGGGAAGCGCTCTTGATATTTTTTGCAGTGCATGGGGTTCATCTTCAAAGCCCAGCTGCGCATTGGGGAACAACCCTGCAACCCAACTGCGTCACTCAGGGATTCTCTTCTTTTGAATATCCGAGTCGCCATTGCCACCCGCCTTTTCAGCTTCACTCTGATTTAAACCTTCAACAAGAACTGGGAATCAAGTCCAAACCACCGGGCTCCAAACCAGCTAGCCTAAGCTTCTCCCCCCCCCCCCCCACAGCAAAATACACCAGCATAGGCTCCCAAAAACGGAAATCAGGTCAAGGATTGCACCCTTGACCTCTGGCCCCGAGGCGGTTTCAGACCTCGGGGCCTTTCAGCTGCCAAATCCAAGTTCCAAACCAACTCAGCGGTCAACCTAAGCTTCTCCCCCCCACCACAAATGGAAGAATGAAAAAAACAACTATAACACAAATCAACACAAGAAACAAAAAACCGCCGCGGCTTGTTCAACTTTCTACAAGTCGCCCGGTGAGCGCCGCCTCGGGGAAGACGATGATCTGGGCGCCTTTGGCCTAAAGGCGTGCCCATGGCTCCCGGGTTCCGAGCGCACATGCTGTGGTCGAAACGAGAACTGGATCCAACCCTTGCAACCAAACACTGTCTGGTGTTCCTTGGAAACGCCCGCTTCTGGAGGGAAATGGAGGAAACCCTATGACAACTTGACACCCTCTCCGATCTCTGGTTCTTATTGAACCGAGTGTGTTTTTTGAGAGTGCATGCTTTAGTGTTTTTAAGGAGAAACGCAATATTCCTTACATTATTATACATTTTGGTTGGGGACCCCCTAAAGAGAGAAGAGCGGGGCGCTGTCAGCGTGCGCTTTCTTCACATGTTGAATGGAAATTCAATTTGAGCTATGTTTGCATAATGTGTGTTTACATGTTGCCTGATTTGTAATGAAATTCTGTGGAACAGAAAATGCATTGCCAAGTCTGACTTAACATGCAATGATGTTAACCAAAAATTAAATTGAACTTGTGATTGGGTTCATTCCTTATCAAAGTTTCTTGTAAAGTTCCATCTAGGGGCTGGCAGGGGCAGTGGCTGTGCTTTCATGTAGTGCCGGCGTGGCCCAGCCTTTTAGGCGTGGGAAGCATGTTACCACAAGCAAATATTCAAGCTTTGAGTATAGCCGCCAGCCTGGCTCATGCCAAGCAACAAAAAATCATCGACAGTACCGACATGCAGTGAGTCCATTTCACGCATCACCCGCACGTATACTTGGCACCGTGTTGCTTTGCTCTCGATGTGTTCACTGGCAGAAAAGATCAAAGAAGAGACGGCGCTGATTGCTTCAAGAGGGCGTGCTCTTGTCGTAGGAGGGCCAGCCAAGGGAGACAAAGGGAGACAGATGAACCTGTCCGAGAGCCGTGCCAAACACCCAGGCAGACAGGCAGGGAGATAACGGGAGACAAATAAACCCGTCCACCCAAAAAGCTGCAGGCAACCACTAGCTGGAGGCAAATGAAGGGAGAGAGAGACAAATGAACCTGTCCAACGGAAGACAAATGAATTCGTCCAGCCAAAAGCGAGACAAAGCGAGACAAATGAATCCGAGGCATTCAGACAATGGGAATTGAATGGGGGGAGACAAAGAGAAACAAATAGATCGACAAATGAAGGGAAACAAAGGGAAACAAAGGGAAACAAAGGGAAACAAAGGGAAACAAATGAACCCGTCCACCCAACGAGCCGTGCCAGGCATCCAGGCTATGGCTTGGCAATAAGCGAGTCCTTTAAACATAATTTGAAACCCCTCGCAGTGAATTGTTTGGGAATTATTTTATTAATAGAGATTTAATAAAACTAAAAATGTATTCAAAAAATGTTATTTTCTAATTAAAGATGTAGCAAAAATATTATGCTTAAAAAAAATAATGTATTATGATTGAATATAATTTATTATTTTTGGATATTTAAATTCACTTTAGAATTCGGATTGTATGTAATTTTCAGAGGAAGTACCGCCTAAACCAAAATCCGGTAATTGCACAAACCATAAACCGAATTAAGAAAATAGAACAGCCATAGCTATTTCTAAGTAAGATTTGTATTTTAGCCAAATTTGTATCATAATGTATCTAGCAAACGAATAACATAGGCAAACAATATTTAATTGCATTTCTACACTTTTTGAAGAAAATATAAACCACAAAATCATTTATTATTCTAAAAACCAAAAATAAAGCATTGCCTGCAAGCTGATGCACCTTTTGGAGGCACACCTGACGTGGAATGGCATGGAAGGGCGCCCTGCTCAATCAGTTGGAGGTTTGAGGCAGGTGACCAGCGCAGGGCTGCAGTCTCTCACTCTGGCTGCGGCGGCGGGGGCCCTGCCAAGGTTTGCGAGCGAGCTTGCAAACCCTGGCAGGGGGGCCCGCCGCTTGTTGACGTTCTTGCCGCTCGCGTGACCTGGTGTGTACGCACACCAATTTGAGACCGTTCGCAAGGGCAATCTGTGATCACAGGCGTTGGAACAAGCAAGGCAGTCTGTTGCAAGGTTGGCAATCCTCATGTCATCACCCCCGCGACTCCCCTTTTCGGAGAGTGGAAACCGAAAATCTGTAAAAAAAGCTGAGGGGCTCCCCGCCAAATCTGCCAGCTCAAAGATCAGGCATTTTGGCTCTCTGCAGCACGCTTCGGTGAGGGAGCTGTCAACGCACATGAAAAAAACCCAGTTGGCTGGGCGTCGGACTTGAGTTGGGATGGCAGCGGCGCCAAACTTGACCGCAAAATGATACATTCACTTGCCGTTCTGGTTCATGGTCAAGACGTGCCCTGCTTGGTAACATCGAAGAGAGTCCTTCCCAAACTCAGCCAACCCTTCGTGGGCCCCCCAGCCGACACGCCGAAGCTCGCCCTTCGCATCAATTCAGCCTCAAGCTGCGCCTGCGCGTGAGCGAAGCCCGACCCTTCACCCCTGAATCGGTGAACCAAACCAACCCAAAAGATAGCTAAATAGATAGACTAGATAGATTAAAGAAATCCGCCGACATTGCTCGGCGTGTCGGACACCTAAGAGAGGATAGACGTCTGATACGTGGGGGGGGGGGGGGCCCCCCTCCTTTCCAAGGACCGCGCGGCAATTTGATGACGTTCCACTAAACGTAGTCTTCGGGGACCCGGTGTCGCAAAACAGGGGTCCCAGGCTCGATTCCCCCTGCCGGGTTTTTTGCTGGCTTGGGCTTCCTGCATCCTTTTGCCGAAAATCTGGAAAAACTCTGTGTTTTTGGACATCAACTTTGCGAAAACGCTGGAAAAACAGTGTTTTTTGCGGGAAATACTGGGGAGCAAAGGGGAAGTGCAAGGATACATACATACATACAGACATACATACAGACAGACAGACATACAAACATACATACATACATTACATTACACAACATCACATTACATTACTTTAAATTACATCGCATTACATACATACTTACATTACATTACTTTACATTACTTTACATTACATTACATTACATTACATTACTTTACTTTACTTTACATTACATTACATACATACATTACATTCATTACATTCATTTCATACATTACATACATTACATTACATTACATTGCATACATGCATACATGCATTACATACATACATACATACATGCAGTACCTACCTACCTATCTACCATACATACATACATACATACATTACATTACATTACATTACATCACATCACATCACATTACATTACATACATACATGCATGCATGCATACATACATTACATACATACATACATACATACATACATGCTTACATACATACATACATACGTTACATTACATTACATTACATTCCACTACATTACATTACATTACATTACATTACATTACATTACATTACATTACGTACAATACATACATACATTACATTACATTACATTACATTACATTACATTACATTACATTACATTACATTACATTACATTACACACATGCATACATGCAATACATACATACATACATGCATGCATGCATGCATGCATACATACATACCTACCTACCTACCTTACATACATACATACATACATACATACATACATACATACATACATTACATACATATATACATGCATACATACATACATACATACATACATACACACATACATACATACATACGAGAGAGGGAGATTGGGGAGAGAGTGGCTTGGGGGGATGGGGAGGATGGGGAGCGGAGGGAGGGAGAGAGGACGACAGAACACACCAGGGAGACAAGGGAGAGAGGAAGAAGGAGAAAAGGGAGAGGACAATGTCGGCGGACTGAGCCGGAGGCTCTAAAGTTAAATGGCTTAAATAGGTTAGATCGATTAGATGGCTTGAATAGACTAGACAGACAGACAAACTGACAGACAGACAAACAAAGAGATAGATAGACATGCGCGGGGCGGTGAGGTTGCTTATCTGGCCAGTGAAGTTGGCAATCCTCTCGTCCACTTCCGCCTTGTACTTGCTGGCTTCCTCGATCAATTTGCGGCCGCCCAACCATCCGCAAATGCCTACCAGGAAGGGAACTGTGAACTGAGGCACACCTTCGCGCCACGGCCCTTCGATGCAGCCCGGCGCAAATTGGCATTGAGCGCCAGCCTGGCTGAAACGAGACCAACCTGCTAGCCAAAGCGCATGCCCCAACTGCGAGTTGTAGCTGAATAACATGAAGCACCAAGCATTCCTGGGCTTGGCTTCTTGGTTACACGCCTTCAAACCACCCAATGAGCAAATGGCTTCCTGGAGGGTGAGAAAGCGTGTTGGAAAGGCAGCAATGGCCATAGCTAGACTTTGCGAGCACCCGGATAGCCTGCCTGGTCGAACTGGCGAAGGTCCGAAACAAAAGGAGCGGAACTTCCAGGCGACCTTTTGCGACCAGGGTTCCACGCAGCTTTGGACTCCCCGCACGCAAAAACAAGTGGTGCTCCATGCACGGCATCTTCGGTATCCCGACTTCAAGCAGCACGCTAGAAAGCACTATGCCAAACAGGCTGTGTTTATATGCGCGCTCGCTCGAGGGCGTGCGCCCAGAAGCCGCTGTATAAAAAGAGGCCGGTCAGGCGCATGGGCGTGCCCGCTCGCAGCCGGACAGCCACTCGCAGCCGCTCGCAGCCACTCGCAGCCACTCGAGCGGCTGCGAGTGCTTTTTTTTGCTTTTTCTGATTTCAGCTTTGGCACGAAGTATTTCTGAGTCATATTGAGTCCCATTTGAATCCTATTCAAATTCAATTTGAATATTACAGAGCGGCCGTTGTTTGTGAATTGAAAAAAGGCTACTCAACAGTGTTTTGCGGTGTTGGCTGACCGTGGTAGTGCTGAGACTGGTATTATTAAAAACAAAAAAACGATTTGAGACCTCTGACTTTTTCCTTTTGAGTTCCACTTAATATCTAAATCAAAAGTCTGCTCAATTTCCAGCTGAAACTACACAGAAATTACTCTGCAAAGACTCCAATCAAAATGTCGCGTTCAGTTCAACATTTGAAGAAAGCTTATTCTATGTCAAAAAGTTACACAGGATGTGCTTTCTAAAAGAACTGCCCTGACAAAACAGTACAGTAAACATGTAAACAACATGTATTTGACAATTGGGCCTTGAAATGATTTTCCTTAGGAATTATACTTCCTATATTTACCAAGCTCTACCTGATTTATATCTCACATAAAATGGAACTCACTAAGGAAACAAACCAGACGTGGTTGATCTTAAGTTGTAACTTAAACAATGATTATTCTACCCAAAATGTTTGAACAAGTTTGCGACCTCTATGTTGTATTTTTTTTAATTCTACTTGATAAGATATGCGTCTAGTTGTACTTAGTTCGAACTAAAAATAAGAAGCACAAACAACCTCACGCTCAGGGTGACCTGTTCCCGAAAGTGGGAATAGTTCAACAATTGCCCAGCCCTGGAACCTTCAGTCACCCCCTGTGTTTCAAGGAAGGCTGCCAAAAACTGAACCCACCAATTTGACAACCTAAAAAACAGTCATTGGCCTAAGGGAACCCACCCGCCCACCCGCCCGCCCGCCCGCCTGCCCGCCCACCCACAAAAAGCGAATCTGAGAATCCATCAAAATGTTCACTCTCAGGGACTTCCAAAAAAAATGTGATTTTGCTTTTTGGTTTGTGTTTGATAACCCGTGGTTCTCTTTTGGTTTTTCTCTTTCAATCCCCCCTGCAAGGGTAGCCTCCAAACAAACGCACCCGAACTTGACCTAAGTGCAGGGCCGCAGCGCGTCGTGCCAGCCGCTCCATTTTGTCGGCATTCTCCTAGGCTGAACCCTGCAACCCTTTAAACAAAGATTTTCGCATTCCATCCGGGAATGGGTGACCAGCATGTTTAAGCAGCCTTGGGAGGTCCCTAGCAAAAAGCGCACGGCCCGACTGGAGTTAGACCATGTTCGGAACACTGACATGGATTACAACGGAGTCTGCGGTCATGCGACCGCCCGGCAGACCCCATGTCAGATTAAGCTTTGCTGATGGGAGGGTTTCTCGTTTGAGCAAGTCCTAAGTTGCCTGGCTGCGAATAATTAGCTAGTATTGGTAGGTGGAGGGAGTGACGTTTGAAACTGATGACCTGCCCCTGACGATGAAACGCTGAAAAAGCAGCAGTGTCCCGTGTCACAAACCCACCAAGTGCACACTTGGATTTTGCTCAACAGATGGGTTCCCTTTTAAATCAAGCTGAAAGAGGGCACCCTCAACAAGCACAAGTTGAAACAAATAAGTCTTTCCCAACATGGTGGATCCCTGTTCTCTTAAATGGAAACCAGAAAAAGCCAACCATCTTAGGTGGACCAGGTTTGGAGAAACACCTCAATGTAGGGGAGCCTCGTTCAAATGGCGTGGTTTCCCAGCCAACTTCCCATTTTCGGGGACCATTCGTTTGAGAAACCCGCCAAATGGGTGGACAATCCGCCCACAATCCGCCGGATGGATGCACTCCTCAATGGCATCTGCGGACCCCATCTGCGAAGAGCACTGCACCGCCTCGAATGAGGAAATGATGCACTGCGGAAGCTTCATTAGCATAGGCGTCCTTTTAGGGGAAATAGATGGCCCTGGTAGATGATTAAACCATCAGGTAAACCAGGGCCATCTAGTTTTCTAGCAAAACAACCAAAAAGGACACCTATGTTCATCAGTTGCAATTTAGTGGGACAATCGTCTCTAGAGTTAAAGGTTTAAAGATTCAATCACATTGCAGCCAAATAAACCCTCCTGGCTCACCCCCCACCCGGAAAAATTGGTCGGCAGCATGACTTCCTGTTAGTGCTCTCAGTTCAGCTTGCGCCTAGGGTACTACTTCATAGCAAATACTGCCTTGAAACACAATGGGAAATAGGCATGAACACCAACTTGTGTTATTGAATTTGTGGCCTATAATTTGCTTGACGTCTCCAGATGTGCGCCCACTTTAGTATTGCTTGGGTTTTCCTTCTTTATCATTTCCCCGAAAAAGTCTACCAATCCAAGCAGATAGCCAGAGAAGGCTTCCTCACCAAGGGGCCCAAGACCTCTCCAGGAAGGGGAACTTGGGGTTGGGCTTCAGGGGTTCTGACCGTTGACTGGCCAGGTTTGGACGGTCTTGTTGGACGATATAGCGATGAATGAGTGGGTTGGTAATGCAAACAAGCGACCGTCAAACTATTCCCCCTGAGCACAAGACGATAGTGGTTGGAATTGTTTTTGCTCTTGTCTTTGCCGAAATTCATGGCTGCACGTGTGTGTGTGTGTGTGTGAACGGGAGGGGGGGAAGATGATCCCCAGCCCGGACAACTCTAGATAAATACCACGCAATAGTAAACAAATTTCAACTAATACTCCACCAATACTAGACCAACAGCACACCAAAGCCCAGCCCTGAGCCTGCAGTCTTCCTGAGGCCTTAACAGCCCAACTATTTAGGACATCCGTTGCCTTTGCTAAACCACCACTCAAACAACATGTTCAAAAGGGGTGGCACCGGGAGCCCCTAGAAGGGAACCAGAAAAGAAGAACGGGCACAAATGCCAAAACGGCTAAACCAATATCCGACTAACAGTAGCCAATACTAAATCAATCTTTACTAGCTAAACTAAACCAAGACTAGGCTAAAAGCAAACCAACACGAATCCAACCCGAAACCAGCAAAGCCGACTGACAAAGGCATCAAACAGCCAGATTGTGTTTGACACCCTTTACTAAAACAGCTTCCCAAACAAATGTTCAAAGGCGTGGTACGGGGAGCCTAATAAGTAAAGGAAAGCATGATATGTGTTTAAGGGTAGAAACAAGTCTACTTGGCCAACTCTTGGCCATACTGGGCCAGCCCCAGGGAAAACTAAACAACTCTAAACCGAGTCCCAAGACTACAGAGCCAGCACGCAAGAAAACAAACTGGTACTACAACAAACTTAAACCACTGGGCCAGCCCAAGCCTAAGGAATAATTCTAGATTCTAAACGACTGTGCTGCAAAGCAAAGAGGACCGCATGGCGTGGCTCCGCAAACCATTGCACGTCCGTGCGGCGCGGTAAAGGCGGAAAACCCGAACCGCAAGATGCCCAAATAGAGACTTCTGTCAAAGGGTGGCGAACGGAGAATCATTTTCCCCTGACCAAAACACCTTTTCCGAGATGATCTGAGAACAAAACCCGATTTGGCGGGAGCCCTTGTTTGGCTTCTTCCTTTATTTAGAGACCAATTCGTATCAGCCGCGCCCATTCTGCCGCCCAAGCGCAGCTACGCGCACACTGCTGGGAGCCCTCCGAACTCCAGGCACACCTGCAGCTGCAACTTCACACACTTCCCCGTAATCGAAAAGACCCTTTCAAAAGTTTATGAAACTCAACTAGGGGACCTCTCTCCAGCTCTCTCTCCCTCTCTCACTCTCTCGCGGCGCCATCTCCCTCTCAAACCAACCCCGCTCGTCGTAGGTCAGTCATTACTACGGCCTGCCACGAACAAGGGCGGCAACTACACTCTACAACCAGGAATCGTCCTGCACCAAAGCTAATCCGCCTGGGACAAATTGATCGAAATTCTGCCATCTTCAGAAAAGGCAACCAAGACAAGCACACTCGCAAGTGAAAGACTGCATCAGAGCACGCTTCAGCATCAGATCGAATCCAAACTCTGGTGCGCCCACCCCTACGTGCGATGAAGGGACGAACACGCTGCAAACAGTTCATCCAGTAGATACAAGTGGTTCCCTATTAAAACTGACACTCAGCGATGCGAACCTGTTAATCGCGTTGTGCAAAGAAACATATAAGGATCCCCGAGCATACCTAAACCACGAAATCCCAAAATGCAGTTGCCAACTCTTGCTTGATTTAGGCTCGTGTGGAAGGCTCCCGCAATTGGCTTGACGACGCGGGACTGTTGGGCAAGTGCCCCTCAATTAACAACCTCTCATATGGCCATCCGACTCTTACTGAGACTTACACAAATAGATGCTGGGGATAGCCAACACACTTCCCTAACCATGGGCGTCAACCTCTGGGGAAACAAACATATAAGCTGACTGGGTTAGCTTGTCCGAAAACACGTGCTGTCGATTGCTGTCGAGTAACACGAGCTGGCCTGAAAGTCCTTCACTAGGTCCTCAAGTAGAGAGGCTAGAATACTGGCACTTTTTTTTTCTGTAGTCAGGGTAAAAGGGCACTACTGGGGGATACTGGGCGACCTAGTTCACGAGCTAGTTTGGAAATCTGTTGCTGAATTGAACTTGTTGTTCAGACCCTTGACATGGAGATGGTCACAGGGCCCGCCCTGACAGAGCGGCCCCGCCTAGTGCTCCCAGCAAGCCGGAGAAGCATCCAAAGCAACCCCCGTCCATGGCTCATTCCGCTCAGCAAAAGGTACTTCTTGAGTGGGTTGGCAAAAAAGAGTCCGAAGTTTTTGTTCAACACTCACATTGCCGATGATAAATCCAAACAACTTAGGGAGGGAGTTTCTGCAAGAAACTTAAGGGGAGTGTTCCTTTTCCGCGTGCCTTTGTTTTTCCTTCTCGTTCATCGCTTCATTGTTTTTGTCCGTGTTCCGGGAGGGGCTGCAACCAATATGTAATTTGCCAGGTTTGCCTGGCGGTGTCCGGCCTTTTTTGGGCCCACTCCAAGGCACTTGTCTGAAGGTGTTGTCTGTTGTGATGGGGCACCCTCGTTCCCCAAGCCAACATGGGAATTTGGGCAAACAGAACACCTTCAGCAATATGCCACCACAAAGGCAAAGTGAGGAAGGCATGCTTGACAGTCAAGTCCGTGCCATGTCTTGCAACTTTAGCTTCTCTGCACAGCAGGTTGACCCAATGTCTGCAACGACTGGCAAGCTACACCCCAGACAAGCTGCTCGCTGCGCAAGAAACACGCCTAGCCCAAAACGACCCCCCAACAAATAACAACAATATGGGGCGGGGTGGTCCTGGGATCCGTCCGAAAGGTTTGTTCTTTCTGTTGTTCGTTGATTTCCCTTTAGAACCACCCCCCAAAAGGCTGTCCTCAAAATCAGGCACACCGGTATAGATTTTCCCGATGATATAGTCCTCAAAAAGCAACCCTGCGATGCCCGTCTTGCCGGGCCCGAAGCAACCATGTCTTGTCCGCAGGCGTGCAGATGCCAGTGAGAGCCAATCATGGCCCCGACCAAAGTGGAGCCCTTGACAAAACTCTGAGAGCCCCTGAAGGTGAAAGCATGTGAGCCGTATTCTACACCCAGTTTGTGGCCGAAGCAAAATACCTTTCGCGAAGGCTTTAACTAGCGGGATGAGAGGTTCCATTCGCGAGAGGCTCGGGGGAAAATTACATTTTTGTCGGCAAACAGACCCTTTCGCGAACCTTTCGCGAGCACGTAAATGATAAGCCCCTTTCGCAAAACCTTTCACGGCTTAGGACAAGTCGACTTGTTGAAAACAACAACTCCTCCACTAGCTTGAAATGAAGATAGAAAGTCGCATATTTGAACTTGTCGCAAATGGCCCCTCGAGGGCCCCCCCCCACCCGCCCCCCCCCCCACCACAGGGTTTTCCAGCTGCCACCACAACTGAGATTGGAAATGCCTGCTGCGGTTGCCTGCCCCTGCCACAAAGCCAAAAGCAAGTCCACATGAGCCAAAGGTACCCACGGAACTGCATTTGAGAGCACATTTGAGCACCTTGAATCCCCTTCAGGCCCTTCCAAAAAGGGTGACTTGCGGCCCGTGATAAGCCAATGAAACATGCAAAATCTTGACTCGAAAGCACAAGCAGGTGGTGAGAGCCATTAGCCAACAATGTCAACGCTTGAACATCCTCAAAATCTTCATAGTTCCATTAAGTCCACGGATCTGTCCATTCATGATGCCATGACCCGAAGCAACATTGGAAAACCAAAGGTCAAAAAATTGGCTTTTCGGCAACCTTCCTGCTAGTGATGGGATTCAATCCGCCTGATGTGTCTGTGCCTTCTCCTCTTGCTGATAGCTTCCGCTTGCCATGAGCAGAAGCAGCACATAACGATGTAAGCAGCAACAGCGTCCTTTTACTCATGTCTTCTTCATGCTTCGCAAACAACCCGCACGTTGAAAGGTGTGCAATAAGTGTCTAGCTAGAGTGCAGTGCGCATTTCTAGACACTCTTATTATAGCAGCACATCGCACACATTCGCATACAAGTCTTTTGTACGCAAGCTATATGCGCTTTGGCGCAACATCTCGGGCCCATCATTCCTGGATGAGCCCTGAAAAAAACCTGAGGGAGTGTCAAAATAGGGAACCCCTTTTTGGATTGTTTAGATGGTTTTAAAGGAAACCATAAGCAAACCACGCACCTGATGGGGTCCCCAATTTTGAGAAACACCTGACTTTTTAGCACCCCCAGCCAGCAACCGCCAACAACCCTCCTTCTGGGCGGCCGGACGTCACCATCCATACCCATAGCATTGGGGCCCTGAGGCAGCATTCGAAAGCCGCCATGGTTGCCAGGGCCGCCCAGGCGTTCCCTGCTTATTTCAGGGCCTCTTGACAAACATAGAACCTGGTGCAGTGCTCCCCGAGTTTGTGGGTGACTTGTTGATTGCGCAAGCCACATGTCCGCAGCTTCACGCATGTGATATCCATAAACACAAGGGCCCGGAGAATGCAAGTTCCACATATGTGAACTCGAACAAAACATGGAGCCGGATGGAACCGGGGTGTCTTCTGGTTGGAATCACCAGTTGCTCGCTCACCTTGGTCGAAAGTCTCTCACATGATTCCGCCTCTGTCTCCAGCAGGAGGCGGTACAAAGAGCTGACCTGGGCGCTGGGGCCCTAAAAATACACCAGCGCCTCTCCCTGGCTGAACTGCACCTCATCCAATCACGCACACAGCACTTCCAAATGAGCTGAAACTAAAGCAATCCGGAAGTGCTGTGTGCGCAGTGGTTGAACCAACTGCTCAAGAACAGCTGTTGCAATTGAACCAATCCGATGTTGAACCTGAACAGCTGTTCTTTTCAATGTTGCCGTTCCACCCGACCGCAATGCCAACATCATCAGCCAAGGCATGACGCGCAGTGTTGTAAGTGATGCTGGAACATGATTGCTTGCCCACTGTGCACCAAAGGAGAATCTGTCTGAAAGCTCCCCGACTTGCCCGCTGGGACACTAGCACACGCAAAACAACAATGCCCCCCCAAGCCCAGAGTATCAAGGTGTGTAGTTGCATAAACATCTAAAGGTCAATCCTTTATCCATTGTTCTTTCGGGACATTAAAAGGACTCCGTAATATGCGGCCATGTTCCGTAAAGGCACATTGTCTGAACACAAATGGGGGAGTATATCTTCAGACCTGTATTGCTCGCAGTATGCAGCCGAATGAAAGGGCCTGCAAGTTTTCCTTTGAACACATCTCTCCAACAAGGTTGGGTCTACAACTTGTTTCAATATGTGTGAGCTTCTATTCACAACACCAGCGTGTCAATTTGCGGTTCCCTCTTATGAAGAATATATAATCGGTTGATTGAACTGCCCCACTCGGCCCTTGGCGGATTCCAACTGGTCCGGGTTCCGCAAAACACATAACAATCCCATGACTGGAACCCAGACGAAGCTCACCTTGCGCCTTGCGATCCCCTGTTTGAGAGAATGAAGCGACGTCCCTTAAAGACTATGTCCCCTGCTTTAGCCGTAACCCTGCCGACATTTGAAGGACGCGAGTTCGTTGCCAAAACAACGGTCCACTTGGCTGTTCACGCGCGGCCAAAATACGCTGTCGATGCGCCAGGTCTGTGTAAGTGACTCGAAAAGCCATCCCAAGCGCAAGCTCGAATGCCATGATAGTATCAAGTGCCTAGAACTAAGGAAGTTGAATGAGCCCTCTGCACAGACAGCAGCAATGGCTCGCGTTCACTCCGCTTGAGTGGACTGGAGGTTAAGTTCTTCAACAAGCCCTGAATTCAAGAAATGGTCTCCCACAAAAAAGGATTGAGTGCAAAACCTCGACCCCGCTCAAACGCCAGTGGCGACAGAGGTGCAGTCACTCGGATGTTCAGACTGCTGAGTCAGAGTTGAAGAGTCCAGGGTTGTTTTCTATCCTCCCACTACTTAAAACACGCCCCAAAAGCACTGCCAGGGAGCCAGGGGCTTGTGTGCGCGTGAGCGGGTGTTCTTATCATTTGGCAGGCATGGATACAGTGCTGAGCGTGCGCGTGAGCGGGTGTTCTTATCATTTGGCAGGCATGGATACAGTGCTGAGCGTGCGCGTGAGCGGGTGTTCTTATCATTTGGCAGGCATGTACAGTGCTGAGCGTGCGCGTGTTCTTATCATTTGGCAGGCATGGATGTGCTCCACGTGAGCGGGTGTTCTTATCATCTGGCAGGCATGGATATAGTGCTGAGCCACGTGAGCGGGTGTTCTTATCATTTGGCAGGCATGGATACAGTGCTGAGCGTGCGCGTGAGCGGGTGTTCTTATCATTTGGCAGGCATGGATACAGTGCTGAGCGTGCGCGTGAGCGGGTGTTCTTATCATTTGGCAGGCATGGATACAGTGCTGAGCGTGCGCGTGAGCGGGTGTTCTTCATCATTTGGCAGGCATGGCATACAGTGCTGAGCGTGCACGTGAGCGGGTGTGAGCGGGTGTTCTTATCATTTGGCAGGCATGGGTACAGTGCTGAGCATGCGCGTGAGCGGGTGTGCTTATCATTTGGCCAGCATGTGTGCCCTGGTGACATGATGCCATGTTCGCCACGATCCAACTGCTGCCACGTCCCCTGGGAACCGCATTGTGTATCCCCTTTTCGAAGTCTCTCAAACAAACAGCCAGGGCTCCCTTTTATGTCGTAGGGGGTCCCATTAAAACATACAAGCCAGGGCTCCCTTTTATGTCGTAGGGGGTCCCATTAAAACATACAAGCCAGGGCTCCCTTTTATGTCGTAGGGGGTCCCATGAAAACAGACAAGAGGAATAGAAAGCTTTACCCCCAAAAGAGAGACTTCCGGTTGCAGGGGGCGTGGCACTTCCCCCCCACCCCACCCCACCCCACCCCACGAAAACGCGGCAGGCGCGGTAAAAACTACACGTCAAGCTCAAATTCCACTGGGGAGAAGAAGCGCGTGGGCGCGCGTGAACAGCCCAACGGAGCCCAAAACAAAGGCGGCCATCTTTCGGCTGGCCGATCTTGCCAAGCAAACGAAGGCTCGGACTAGGCCCATACATGATATCGCAAGGCGTGGGCAGGGCCCTTCAATTGGGGTACGAGTACCCCCCCTCCATACGTTACTTGCTTGTTGGGGAGGAAGAATGAAACCGGTCAACCACAAGAAGACTTCACCATTTGGGGTGGCTCAGCTGCAAAGACGCCACGCTCCCTCCAGATTCACATG